TCGCTCGTTTCTTGAAAATTGAATATTAATCACGTATCTATGTAATGAAATGTAAATAAAACGTACGTATGATTTGTTTCGTATGTTTTGGAAAACTTCTCGTGAAAATAATAGAAGGAGAAGATCACAGGAATTGAACATCGTATCGTATTTCCGATAAAATGAAATTTGAAGCATGTAGTAACTCGGGACTTATCGATAACAGTATACACGTGGAATTTCGTTCGAAAGTTCCAATAATTGGGCGTCTGTGCAGAGCTTACCATTCAGAGTCCTGTTAATTGCTGTCAATTAGTTCCCTTTCCTGTATCCAAGTTTATTTCCTTTATCTACTAACAGAGATAAATTGAAACCCTCTGTTGTCAGTAGTGAATCTCTTTTCTCTTTATAATCACCGTCTCTGTTCGGCATTTCTTTTTGGTTGTAAATTCGTGAATCTGTTATTCCGTAAATAAATGGTACTGTTTGTACTGTTTGAATACAATGTATCCGGAGGAATGAGAAAATTTTTGCTGTCCAACCGAAATTCGGTATCTGAACAGGCATCTAATTAATTAGTAAAGAAATTGAAACTAGCAAATACCTTTCAAGCGTTCTAAATGTAAAGTGTAACAATTGTGAAATTGAATGAAAATGGAACTATAATTAAAAACGGCAATTCATTGTAATTATTCATTCAATATTACCTTTCATGATCTGCATTTACACACTGCTTAGTGTAAGAAAGTACATTTTTGCCTAAATAAACACATTCCTATATTTCCAATAACTTATATAATTATATAAAATACTTTATTTTCTCTTTACAAGCTACTCTATTAATTCTTTATGTATATTTCGCTAAATTCCCTTTCAACTTCTTTCCCCCTTCCTGGAATGCCAACGAAAAGCTGAATCGTCTGTTCGACAGCAAGAAAAGCCAACTATAAAAATCTCATCTTCTTTTTCTTCGCCGGAAATCCCCCTCTTCGCCGTGGTGTTTGCCTTGGCTCTTCTCACCTCTGTTTACATCGCCCTTAACCCGTTGCGTTTTCAATCGCACCCGAGTATTACTTGTCTGAAAAACAAATTCGCTCTTTCGTCGGTTTTCTAACAATCCGCCGTGATCGAGAGGACACTCCTTCGCCAAACACGTTTTTCTTTTGTCTCGTTCGGTTTTTTCCCACTCTCGGGGAAACAGGGCGATAAAGGGAGGGTGACGGCGAAAGGAAATCGAGGGCACCGATGAAAACGGAGCCACAAGGTGAGATCGTATCGTAAACGAAAGCTTCCCTCTGCCTTTCGTTCGTTGCCTGGCAAATGCACGGACGCTATCCAGCCGCATGGCGCGTTTGTTCGTCTTGGATTGCTACCAACAATCGACTATTACACGATACTACCCGTTGCAAGAAAAAAGAAGTATCGTACTATTGTTACGTGGTATGTTGTTTCTCGCAGCAGGATGTTCCGAAGAGAAATTGAATTGTGCTTTTAGTAATGCCTCCTTCGTATTTATTGTCAATTTTTGATGACTGTAATGTTGATTATTCCTAGAATGTATATCAATTCGCGAAGTCACACTTTTGTTACAATTTTTATTGTTCATCTCTTCCAACGTACACCACTGATCTTTACTAGTTAATTTTTCCATTCACGTTCGAATTGACTCCAATTTCGAATAGTCACTGCCGACTGCTCCATTGTAATTAAATAATATGAGATTAGTTAGGGCAGCGTACAAAGCTTCGAAGCTTCACTTCTCGAAACAAAACTTCCGCCGCCACGGTTCCCGCGTTTAATACATGCAACACGCGTCCAATTTTCCCTCGCGCCACCACATCTCCTGCTACGATATTCTAGTTCGCCACACGGATGACGCGTTTCACTCTATTGTACGGCGTGCATTTAAGCCTAAACGTCGGCTTAAATAATTTCCACGCGGCGCGAAACCGCCGGAGCCGGCTGTTTCTCGTGATAAAAGACCTAATGAATGTCAAACGAGGTTTCGCCGTTGGTTCTAAGCTCGGCTATACAGTTACACGTCTTGCCAGATTTGCACTCTTGATGAACGTGGAATTGGTAGACGAGCGTTATCGCGGCTAACGTTGTAATCCCCCGGCGCAATTTCCCCGGTGAAAAAGCAGGCGGTCACGGTCGCAAGAAGAGACCAGGTTCACACGAATTCCACCCTTTAATCCGCAGGTCCTTTGCGAATACAACGAATGCCTGGCCTGAGGCCTGCCTTGCTAACAGGTTGAAGATTTTTCACTCGAAGCATTGCGTCCCCTCTGTTCTTTTCCTCTTTCTTCAAACGACGATGTTTGCTGTTGTGTGGTTGAAGAATCACGTCCTGATTGAATCATGTTAAATGAAATCCCCTTCTTGATTTCTGTTCTGTGGTTCTGAGGTAATTAATTGGAACTATTACGAAAGAATAATTCCAATCTCTTTCGCTTTGTTTGAGTTGAGAACAGATATGAAATGACGTTCAGCTTGGTAGATTGGACATTTGAGATATTTTGTAATGATATTCTCGGTAATGATGATGTGACAGGTATGACAGTGATGTTTCTCTACTCTATTAATTATATTATTGATAATATAATTTTAAGCATTTACAATTCAATATACTTATATATTACTCCCTCTATTTCGAGTATATTTAGTTAGTTTTAATTTCTTAAATTGTAAATCAAGCTTCTACACGACTGAATGTAATTTAAAATGATAGATCATTTTTCTATCTACACAGTTTGTAATCTTAGAACCTACATTTGCTTATTCCTATTTATTACAATTTATGCACTGTTCTACTATAATCTTCTTTTCAGCCATTATTAGTTTCATCAAATTTTACGTCTACATTCGTATATCTTAAAATCAGACTCATGCCAATTATAAATGATTATGAAATATGTACATATTTATTTGCACGGTCCAATAAATAAATAACATTCGATTAAGGAAGCAAAAACTAACTTTCATCCGGGCAAAACTCTCTCCTGGTATAGCCATTATTAGTTTAAAAACTCTCCTCGGATAGATTCACTGTCTCGACGATCTCGTTAACGGCATCGCCGCATTTCCATCGAACGCAAAAATAGTCTGCTTGCCTTTCAACGCCAAAAAATATCGAACAATCCTTTACGCTGGTACCTTTAATGAGCGTGATTTTCATCCCCTCGTTGTTACCGGAGAGTAAGATTACCGCTCGCCGGTGGTTGAAGCCCACTTCAGAGTTGGTCAGGCATTTTTAATTAGTTTAATTTTCAGCCTTTTAATTGGTTCAAGAGCGCGGAACTGTTCCAGAAAATTCGGAAAGTTTGCCAGTCTCTGAACTGTCTACTCGGAACGAGTGGTTCCTACCGCTTTTCACCGGCTTTATCTTCGCGTACCTTTCATTCTTCCTCTTTGGCCGCCACTCCCTTCCTCCCGCCATCCTCACCTTTTATTTCATCCCTGTTGGCGGTTTTCCGCCTCTGAAAATTTGTGTTACGCCGAACTTCCCCTCCGAGTAAGAATACCTGTAATTTAAGAAGTTTTCACGTCGATGAGAAGACGTTGAAAACAAACGAAGACGGGTGAGAGAGAGAGAGAGAGAGAGAGAGAGAGA